CCTGTTGCTAGTTAGCCAACCAGCAACGGGCATGAAACTGTATGCAGATGGAGAAGGGCAATCACCCTTAATGGGCGATCAATGGTGAAGGGCAATCACCCTTAATGGGCGATCAATGGTGAAAGGCAATCACCCTTAATGGGTGATCAGGATATGCATAGGGGATTAAGGGGGGGGGAATACAAAGAACACAACACCTCCTTCCTTCCTTCCTTCCTTCCTTCCTTCCTTCCTTCCTTCCTTCCTTCCTTCCCCCATGAAACTCACTTGTGACAGGTCAGGATTTAGCATGCTGTAAGGTCGTTGTCGAGACGCACTGATACGGGCTGAAGGGCCAAACCGTAAATCATCTTCCCCATCAGGTTCAGCAGTTGGAGATCCAGCTGGATCCAAATTTCCCGTGCTGCTACTGTTCAACTTGCTAAGAAGGAAGCCACTAATGAGAGACAAAGGACAGGTGAGGATTTCTGGTAAGGGTTTCTCCCCCAATGCCTGCCTGTTTGAGACAACACACTGCTTCCTGAAGGAGTCTAAAGACTAGCTCCAAGCCTGCCAGATATATTCCATTAATCCAACTTGTTTTGTCAGGGGAACCTGAATGTCAAGGCATGTACCTCTTTTAATTTAAGAGGGGGGACTGCCACAAAGAAGAGGGGGGTCAGCCTATTCTCCAAAGCACCCAAAGGCAGGATAAGAAGCAACGGATGGAAACTAATCAAGGAGAGAAACAACCTGGAACTAAGGAGAAATTTCCTGGCAGAACAATTAATCAGTGGAACAACCTGCCTCCAGAAGCGGTGAATGCTCCAACACTGGAAGTTTTTAAGAAGAGATTGGAGAACCATTTGTCTGAAATGGTAAGGGTTTCCTGCCTGAGCAGGGGGTTGGACTAGAAGACCTCCAAGGTCTCTTCCAACTCTGTTATTCTGTTAACATGGAAAGAAAAAGGTCAGTCATGTGACTGACCTGATTTTATGACCTTTTCTGTGGCAGTTGCTAAGTGAATTACTGTGGTTGTCAAGCAAATCCATGGTCAATAAGCGAACCCATGGTTCACCATGGGTGAGGCTTTGTTAAAAACAGGAAGCAAAAAGCAGTGATGTGACTGTGAGACACTGCAAATGGCTGTACCCAGTGTGGTCACAAGATAAGTAACCCCAGGTAGGTCTGTTGGAACTTTGACCAATTGATAAGTAATCAGTCATAAGTCGAGGACAACAATCAGTTTTCCTTCCAAATTGCAAGACTGAGGTGCCAGGACTTACCTGCTAAGTAGTTTGTTAGCTCCTTCAGCTGAGGGAAAGGGTCGGGTGTAGGAAAATGGAAACCAACCTTTCCTGAAAATGTGAGAAACAGATATTTAAGACAGAAAGAATAGCACAAAACCTTTTTTTGTGTGTGTGTTCTCCCCTCATCTGAAGGAGGGGAAGCGTCAAATTGGACCCAGTGTTAAGGTTTTTTAAAAAAAGATGGAATAAAGTAATGAAAGGTGGAAAGCTAGAATTTAGGCGGTCTTTGTAAACCCAGAACTCTTATTCCCACTCTGCCTGAATTTTTACAGAGGAGAATCAAGTATAGTGGTTTGAATCTTGGACTAAGAGCAAAGAGAACTAGATTCAAATTCCTGCTTCACCACAGATTTCACAAAGAACTTTGGGACCAGTTCCTATTTTTCAGTCCAGAGGAAGTTATCATAAATAAATGGGTTTGGGATGATTGGATGTATGGATAGGTTAATATCAAGTCACAATCTTGATTTAGAAACTACAATAGGCTGGTTGCCACAGCTTCCTCAGCCAAAACCAAAGCACATTCTGGCTTAAGAGCAATGTGCGAACTCAGTCAAGTTTGCAATCACTTACATCCACTTGACCCACCAGAGCCGGGAGAGAGGGGATGTTGCGGGTCCCCTCCTCTAAGCAGGTACATCAGGCTGGATCCAGAAGAAGGGCCTTCTCTGTGGTGGCCCCCTCCCTTTGGAAACTCATCTCCATGGAAATTAGACTGGCCCCCACTTTGACACTCTTTCACAAGACCCTGAAGACCTGGTTTTGCCAGTGGGCCTGGAGAACCCACAGTGGGATGGAGCCCATCCAGTGGCTTGTTTGATTGCTTGTTGTCACTGGGCGGGGGGGGGGGGGGGGGGGGGGGGTGNGGGGGGGGGGGGGGGGGGGGGGGGGGGGGGAGGTGTTGTTTTTACTCTTTTTAGATTGGATTTTCATTTTTTGTAAGCCACCTAGAGTCACTGAAAGAGAATTGGTGGCCATATAAATTCTCTAAATAAGCAAATAACAATCATGTTGGCTTTTTATTTGTTTTAGCCAGGACTGCCCACTGTGATTGGTGCTCTTTCTTATCCCTGGCAGCTATCTGGAATCTCTTAGCTGGAGAGCTATGCCTCTTCTCCAACCTTATGGGACCCTCTCCCTTAATAGGGAACCCTTTTATCTAAATGTCATGACCCACGTATTTGAGTTGCCTACTGCATCCCTGTAAGTAGAGACACACTGCCTGGAGGGATCCATCCTACGAATGGGAAAGAGAATACAAATAGTCCTCAAGTTACAATCGTAATGGCACCTGACCATTACGGTCATAAGTCATAACAGTTGCAAAAAACAATTGTATGACTTTTTGGCAGTGGTTGTTAAGCAAATCGCCACGTCGTTAAGTGAATTACAGAGGTTGCTAGATGATCATTATACCAATCGCTTGCTATGGGTGTGGTTTTGCCAAAAACTGGAAGTAACTAGCAGATTTCAGCAAAACTATCGTAAAATGCGATCAAGTGACCGTGGGACAGTGCAAATGGTCATAAATGAAGCTGTGCTGCTGAGCACCCAAAATGCAATCACGTGACCACCTGGGGGACTGACCTTTAGAATTTCAGATCTGGGTCGTAAGTCCCCCCACACACTTTTTTTTGAGTCTGTCATAATTTCAGTCAGTTGCTAAGTGACTGGTTGTAAATTGAGGACTACCTGTAGTAATCTAGCTTTTCTAGGGCCAAAGGAACAGAGAAGTTTTCACTCACATTCTGGTTGCCTCGTTTTCCCCATAATGCCAGCCGTCCCTTGCCTCAGTCACCAATAAAAGGATGACGTCTCCTTCTTGGAAGTTGAGAAGGGTGCTGTTCTCTCCGGCCAAATGTGAGAAGATTGCCTGGACTCTCAGACGTTCGGAACGTGGAGGCAGGATTGAAAGAGGATTAATGTGGGGCAGGGTCTTGTTCTCTACTGCGAGAAAGGGTGGGGAGAATAGGTGGAAATTAATGGCATTCCTGAGAGGTTGGGTATGTTTCTCCCCTGCTGTTTTCTGCTTAAGCAAAGTAAACTTTCAAGCAATGTTTCTCAACCTTCACAACTTGAAGATGAGTGGACTTCAACTCCCAGAATTCCCCAGCCAGCAATGCTGGCTGGGGAATTCTGGGAGTTGAAGTTCACTCATCTTCAAGTTGCCAAGGTTGAGAAATACTGCCCTTGAGCAATGTTTCCAGTCAGGTTTTACAAGTGCCCAGGGATTACGGGATTAAACTAAAGTGCCCAGCCAGAATGCTGGAATTACAATCTCAGAGGGAAGGAAAATAGGAAAATACTAGATTGCTGCAGGCTGCTATAAAATACATGATTCTGGAGAGATCACATATGGGTTTTATAGACCTCTTAAACTAGCCTGCTTATAGAATTTGCTTCATCAAGCCTCGGGCCTGTATTTGGTAATATTTCTCTTTCTGCTTCCAGATCAAAATTTGGCTGGATAGAATCAACTTGAAACTGGTTTTTGGAAGAATATATTGGGGGTTAATTAACCGTTAATGATTGCATCTTACTTTTGTCTCATTTTATTAGGGCAGGGGTCTCCAAACTTGGCAACTTTAAGACTTGTAGACTTCAACTTCCAGAATTCCCCAGCCAGCATGGCTGACTGAGGGATTCTGGAAACTGAAATCTACAAGTCTTATAGTTGCCAAGTTTGGAGACCTCTGGATTAGGTAAGAGACACCAGGTTGCATCTCCAAGTAAGAGTAGCTCTGTATGGGTTCTTGTCTTTCCCTCACAGAAAATGCTGGACTTCTCTTTACATTTTTGCATCTTTTCAACCAGTATCCCCAGTTCCAAAAATGGCACAAGAATGAAAAATAGGTTTTATTCTTCGTCTTGCAAAGAATAGCATATGCATTCTTCCAACACTCCAGATCAGAATTTAGTGAGAACAGGATGGATCAAATGTCAAAATCCTGGAACTACAGGTTGTCGTCAACTTAGAACATTCGTTTAGCGACTGTTCAAAGTTACAATGGCACTGAAAAAATGACTTATGACCGTTTCCCACATTTATGACCATTGCAACATCTCTGTGGTCATGTGATCAAAGTTTGGATACTTGGCAACTGGTTCATACTTACAACAGTTGCCATATCCTGGCATCATGTGATCCCATTTTGCAAACTTCTGACAAGCAAAGTCAATGGGGAAGCCAGATTCACTTAACAACCGTGCTATTAACTCAACAACTGCAATGATTCATTTAACAACTGTGGCAAGAAAGGTCATAAAATGGGGCAAAACTCACTTAACAACCGTCTCACTTGGCAACATAAATTTTGGGCTCAATTGTTGTCATAAGTCAAGGACTACCTGCACTGTTAAAGGATACATTGGCTGAAAGAAGATGGACTCAGAACGGGATGCAAATTAGAATCAATGCAGAATACCCACCTACAGTTGCCAGGTGAGTTTCCATTGACATCTTGTGTGGCATTGGCAGAGTGCAAGAGTAGCTGTCAGCAATCTTGATTTGTGAAGTGGGCTGGGTGGGGGTCAGACCTGAGGTGGTGGTGGTGAGGAACTCACTGACTGGCAGGTGATTGAAGTCACGGAATCCCCGCCCTCGGTGCAAATCACCATTTAGCAGCAATGTTCCTTCCTGGATTGAAGTCCGCTATGGGAGATAAGTTAGGAATGAAAAAACGCAGGGCACTGATGAGATCTCATACAGGTTTTCAGAAGCATCCCTTCTTCCTTTGTTTTTCCCCTGTAGAAGAAATGTGTCTTCCATGACCTAAAGGCCAGGAAGTCCCTCCTCATTCCTGCTCCAGGCCATATCAGAAGCTGCCATTTGGAGACCTCAATGGTTTTTAGAAACTCGAACCCAAACACTAAAGGCAAACGGAAAAGCTAACATCCTGTTTATCAGCCCTGACCCACAAATACTCACGTGATTTTGTCCCAATTCTAAAGGCTCTTCCAGGGTCTTGGAGACAAGGAGGGGATCCATGGCTGGAACAGAAATGCCAGCTGTGGTGTTGTTGGCTGTGAGCTTGACCAAAGCCAATGCCCGCTCAGGTAAACGAGTAGGTTGGGTGCACGATGTTTGCCAGACGGGCAGTCTGGCTGCCAACAGCTCCTGCACCTGTTACAAATGAGATGATGGTGGTCTGATCATCTTTTCAGCTAGCCAAGTTATACCCTTTTATATATAAATATTTTATTAATTTTCTAGTTTTACAATCATAAGTACTTAATAAACAACGTGTTGTCCTGGGTCCATTAGTAATTCAGTGGTACATATTAACTTTTTCAATCTAGGCCCAATATTACCCCATCCAATACTTCCTCTCTTCTTCCGGTAGTACACATTTTCCCACATTAGGCAAATAGAATTCTTATTGTTGTTAATACATATACAATTGAATATCAACATCTTTGTTACATTTTCCTAATAATATCAATAATGTCCATTTAAAATACCTTTTCTAACCAAAATATATCTTAATTGCATTTGCACTTAATATCCATTTGTTCAATTAATATCCTGTTTTTCCTGCTTTTTTTTTTTTTTAAAAAAAATTTCCCATCAGTGTTCAAAATGTCTCTTTCGCTTATAATTTCTCAATGTTATATTTGGGTAACTAAAAGCTTCCCTTATTCAAACCCTCTTAGCATTTTCATATTTCCCTTCTCATACCAAAATATATTCTAGTTATAAATCCTATCTTTCTAGTTATAATACTTCTATTTTTAACAATTATCTATTCTCAGCCAAGTTCAAACATCTGGTTAATAGTATAATGCCCATCTAATGGGTCAAAACCTCTATTTTCTTCATTCTTACTCTAGCTTTCTTCCTTTGCCAACTAACTTTTCAAGTTAATGCATTTGAATCATCAAGTAATTCTTCCTCTATTTTTGTGTATATTGTTTGGAATAAAAAAGACAATTTGATTAAAGTATTTTTGGAAGGACGCTCAGCCCATTGATATTCATTAAACAGCCTCCCTCCTTCTCCAATTTCCCACAATTCTCCTAACAGCTCTATCTTCCATTCAATCAGCTCTTCTTTCTTATCCTCAAGTGTGTTCTGAGATCTTGACAGGTAAGATATTGTAGTAATCAGTGCTCAGTCATTGCAGGGTGCAAATATGGCTGACCGCCTTCGCAGCGTTTATTCTTTTATACAGTTTTCCAAGCAGCAAAAGTTTAACATGGCAATAACGTAGCAATAGCATTTTATTGGTTAAACTCCTTACCAATCCTTAAGAATATACAAGCCAGGAGGCCCCAAACAGGGAGCAGTTTGCTGCAACATCCTGTTGGTGTAACCTAGCTGATATCAGGCAGGTGAGGTCATTGTACCAGCCTGGGGTAGTTTCCCACATTGCCATGGTGATGTGAAGGGATGAGATAATGTAGAGGGAAGAGGCATGCAGGCTTTGGAGGGGCAGTTTGCTGCTCACGACCTCTACCTGGCCCCTATCTCTACATCTCACTCTTTTTTGTAAAAGGATCATAATCAGGAGAGGAACATCCTTGCAGTTGTTTATACAGGGCAAAAACGTGACCCTGAGGCAATGTGGGAGAGGATTTGGGGTTAAAAGCTCTGATACATATATTGCAAAAGGAAGGAATACATTGCACAAAACAGCATCCACCAATCAAAATAGCACAATTTATGACCTAATAACGTAGGATATTTCACAGTAATCCTGTGGGCAACCAAGCCCAAAGGCTTTCCCACCAAGATCCTAAAGTATCACTTTGCAAATCAGAGGCCAAATTGTGTAAAATATTAATCTGGTGCTGGATGGTTCGTGAATTATCAGAAATATTGAAACAACACATTCCCTCAAAACTTTCACAACCCAAATGCTGACGCAGAAGCAAATAATCGATAGCAGCGCGATTTTGCAAAATAGCTTTTCTCAAATCTTGCAGCTCATGGTTGATTGCTGACATAGCTGAAGAAGTAGCATTAATTGTTTTTACTAAATTACCCGCAATAGCATTGATGTTGAAGTGAGCACGAACAGCAAGTCCTGGCACACCCACTAGAGACATAGCCAATGCTACATATTCTGCTTTATTAAGTAAGGCTGTCTCAGAGTCACAAGTGCTGTCTAGCATGACCCCACGTCGAAAACGGTTCGAGTGAACTTGTTGTTTGGAAAGCAAAATAGGAATTAGCCGGCTGAGACAACACTGCGCTTCACTAATATTAGCAAGAATATAATTAAAGGTTTCTTGGCCACATGTAAAAAACCATCCTTGCAGTAGCCAAACATGTCCAAAATGAAAGGAAGTCTCTTCAAAAGCTGTGCAGTTTAAAACAGGTGAGCTAATGCGACGACAGTGAGGTTTTTTACTTGAAGAAGTACAATTAACTATTTTTGCACATGTTATATTTGCAGGGATTGCTACCACTGGGGTGTGCAAAGCAATAGCTTCAGGGGGTGGATAATAAGCAGTAACCCCCCAGCTAGATATAGCCTTATAGTTAAATTTCCCATTGAATAAAATTCTGCTCAAGCCAGTGAAGTTTTGAATTACTGCAGAAGGGGTGCAAACAGGGACTAAACATGTAGAAAGCAAATTTTCCATGTCATATGCTTCAGATAAACAAAAGACATCATTTTGTGTGACGTCAGCCAGCTGCACCCATAGATTTTGCTTCATTCGTTGCTCGAATGATTGTTTGGGTGGGATGACAGCTGCTGTTGCCAAAGGGCAGATGTTAACGATCAGACACAAACAAATGATGGCTAAGGAATTTGCAGTTAAAACCGCAAAAATGGTAGTGCACAGGTTCTCGGGGGTTTGCTCTACTTGCTGCTGCTGCAGCACTGCCTGTGCTTTGGCGGTCAAGTTCTTTACATCTCCCCACATCACTGGCCGACTGGCATGCCGACTGGCATGGTCGCTGTGCCATCTGTAGAGTCATCTTGGCCATTTCTGGAGCTGGATCCAGGGACTGGTGCCACGACATCCCTGGCTGGGTGAACGTAATGAGCTGGAATCCACAAAGGTCCTGTAGGAGCAAGCACAGCAGCATAGCCTCGCCCCCAAGTGATCAAAGGGACCGGTCCCAACCATGCTTTGTCTGGTAATGCCCGATAATATACCAGAGGCAGAGGCAAGCTTTTTTTCTGTTGAAAGTGTCTCTGATAAGTGGTGGAATTTTGAATGGCAATATTCAATTGGTGTAATGTAAATAATATTTTTTGAACCTGTTGTGTTACCCACGACAAATTGGGTACCCTAGATCCGTTCCAGGTTGTGCAAAATTGCAAAAAGGCCACTGAAGAATAGGCTGGCCCATTATTAGTTTTTAAGGAAGAAGGCTTACCCAAGGCTGTAATGGCCGAAAAAAGATGAGAAATAACATGTGCAGCTGTTTCCCCTCGTTGAGGCGTGGCCCAAATTGCTCCTGAATAGGTATCAATAGATAAATGAATATATTTCCAGGGAGCCAAAAAGGGAACATGGGTAACATCCATTTGCCATAGTTGATTAGAGGCAAAACCACGGGGATTAGGAAGACATAAAAAAAATAGGCCCAGGAAGGGAGGAGTGACTGCGTATATGAAAAAAAAAATATATAAATGCTTTCAGTCTTGTAGCAGCTGCTGTAAAGTTAAAAACAAAGCCATAAGATTGGGGTCAATCCTGGGCATGATGTAAGCACCTGGAAGATTAAAAATAAGTTGGCACACATAATGAAAGTCAGAGATTAAGTTAAAAGGCTGTTGAGGAAAGATGTGGAAAGCTAAAATAGCAGCAGATAATTCTGAGCGTTGTGGTGAGGATTGCATTGGAGTGTAGGACGCTTTCCAGGTATCATCATGAAGATCCTTGTAAGCAATTGCTCCTCTCGTTCACCTTCCATCGGTAAAAACAGTAGGAGATTGTGGCAAGGGAGAAGGAGAAAGCAGTGGGCGGACAGGAAAGGAAAAAGTCATTAAACAAGCAAGTCAAGGATCTTTAGGGAGATGATATGAAATACAGCCTATATAGTCAGTTAAAGAGCACTGAAGAGATAAGTTATTCTAAAAACAAAATTGAAAATCAGATTTTGAGATAGGAAGAACAATATTAATTAAATCAGTTCCATTTCGACGGCAAGCTCGTGTGCGTCCTAAGGTTATCATTTCAGCAACCACCTGGATAAAAAATAAAACATTTTGGGATGGGGTGTGGGGTAAGTAAATATCAAAAGTGTTAACTGACAATTTTTATATGGAATTCTGTCCACAAATTGAGTATTCAAGATGTCATTAATTTGTTCAACCGTGGCAAGTGCTGCAGGTGGAACTACAATGAGATCTCCAGGTTGTTTTCCTTTGGTCAATAAATCAAATAATGGACTGAGCAAATTTGTAGGCAAAGAAAAATATGGGCGAACCCAATTAAGGGTGCCTAATAATTGCTGTAAATTGACCAATGAAATAATTTTGGCTAGGCTCAAACAAGGAAAAGCTGGGGCAGAATAAGATTGCAACATTTTATGTCCTAAATAAAGATAGGGAGAATGCAACCGTATTTTTTCTGAGGCAGCTTGCAATCCATAAAGACCTAAATCATTTTGTATTTCTGAAAGCCAATTAGATTGTATCTTTGGTGCTCCAATTAAAATATCATCCATATAATGATATACCAAAGCCAATGGATGACGTTTGCGAAAAGGAGCCAATGCTGCAGCAACATAAAGCTGACACAAGGTGGGACTGTTCAGCATTCCTTGTGGCAAAACTGTCCAGTGATAACGTTTATTAGGTTCTGAATGATTCACTGTAGGCACAGTAAATGCAAACTTTTTCTGATCAGGGGGGCATAGAGGAATGGAGAAAAAACAATCCTTTAAGTCAATTACCATTACTTCATGATCTTGAGGAATCAAATTAGGGTTAGGTGTTCCACACTGCAAGCCATCTACCACTTTTCTTTTTTTATGACAAAAATAGGGGTGTTCCAATTTAATCAAATTCCATTCAGATGGAAACAAATTTCCAGTAAATAGGTGAAACATTTACAAATCTAAGCAAAACAATTCAGAGTCAGTTCTTTTGGTTGATGGATATATAGGTCTAACTAAACAATTTAAACTCAACAATTTTCCCCTCAAAAAATATTGCCCAA